ATAGTGTCCTCAATTATCCTATATAGACATCGGTCAAAACTTCCCACACCCATATCTCGGTCAAAACTCAACCGATTTCCACGATGTTCGACTTTTTATTCATGGTTTGACCTCTAGATAAAATTGGCATCAAAATCTGGCAACACTATTTTTGGTCAAAATTCATGTGAAAATAGTGTCCTCAAATATCCTATATAGACATAGGTCAATATTTCCCACCCCCATAACTCGGTCAAAACTCAACCGATTTCCACGAGGTTCGACTTTTTATTCATGGTTTGACCTATAGATAAAATTGGCATCAAAATCTGGCAACACTATTTTTGGTCAAAATTCATGTGAAAATAGTGTCTCCAAATATCCTATATAGACATAGGTCAAAATTTCCCACCCCCATAACTCGGTCAAAACTCAACCGATTTCCACGAGGTTCGACTTTTTATTCATGGTTTGACCTCTAGATAAAATTGGCATCAAAATCTGGCAACACTATTTTTGGTCAAAATTCATGTGAAAATAGTGTCCTCAAATATCCTATATAGACATAAGTATGTAGGTCAACATTTCCCACCCCCATAACTCGGTCAAAACTAAACCGATTTCCACGAGGTTCGACTTTTTATTCATGGTTTGACCTCTAGATAAAATTGGCATCAAAATCTGGCAACACTATTTTTGGTCAAAATTCATGTGAAAATAGTGTCCTCAAATATCCTATATAGACATAGGTCAATATTTCCCACCCCCATAACTCGGTCAAAACTCAACCGATTTCCACGATGTTCGACTTTTTATTCATGGTTTGACCTCTAGATAAAATTGGCATCAAAATCTGGCAACACTATTTTTGGTCAACATTCATGTGAAAATAGTACCATCAAATATCCCATATAGACATGTTTGCAAATTAATGAATTTTCAACTCTCGATCTCTTTTACATCTGTTTCTATATATATATGCTTGTATATATACATTCTTATTCAAAGCCTAGACTCAGACCTAAGATAAATCTGTAGATTATATCATCTAAAAGCATTAATCCGTTTTGTTCAATTAAGCTTAACAACAAAAAGTATATTGATTTTATATCATCCTTACTTTAATTTGGATTTGAACTTGGAATATTGTTCGTATTACCAAGCTGATTTTTTAGGCTAGATTTTGCTATTGTAAACGCTTTTGTTTTGCCTCAACAAATCTGATCTGTTAACCAAAGTCAAGCGATGTGGTGATCACACTTTTCGTCGACAAGGTTTACGAGTATTAAAGCCTTTTGTTGAGTTATACGACTTGCATATAGTAAGTATATATACTATATATATACATGGCAATGAGATCACTTTTTATACTGAAACGCAGCTTGTCTGTGCCGCGTCTATTAATGGATGTATCAATGTATGTGTGCATGATACACATACATGGGCGTTTTGAAAAGTTGTTTAGAGACAAAGGCGCTGCGTGAAAATGCCTTTTCATGTTCGGATGATGCTAACGCTGATGTCACAAGGGAAATGCCTTCATTTTGTTATTTATAAATTGCATTTGCCTCGCTCTTTGTTGTTGTTTTTGCTGCTGTTGTTGTTGCTGCAATTGTCTTGTTAGGCAACAAAGCCGGCCAAAAGACGAGTACTAAAATAAACACGGGCTAGTCGTATGCACATATATATATATTATGTATATATATATATCTTCATGTTTGGTATAATATGTCGACTAGGGAATCGGCTATATTTAGAGCCTTTGGTCGGCCCGCTTTTCCTGCTATTTTCAAATTTGAGCCGTTTTTCACATTGCACGAACTTGTCTTGTCACGCGGCGAACAAAAAAAAAAAAACGATTAAAAATAGAGTTTTCAGTTTTTGTGGGTTTTCTCAATGCAAACGTGAAGTATTTGTTGGTTTTTTGGCTTATTTAAAAAATAAACGATTAAGTAGTCAAAATAGAATTAGGCATATATTTGGTAAGAAATCAATTGGGTTGATTTCTTTTGGTAGAAGATTTAAATTTTGAGCTGTAAGTATAAACAACAAAAATACAGCAGATTAGCTATGATTATTTTCTGGAAACCTTCTGGAATTGCCTGGCGATATCGACATCAATAATATATATGTACTTTCCCAATATACGATTGATATATACTAGTTTTAATTGGTTTGTCTTGCTTTAAATAACATCAATTTAATCTGCATAAGCTTATATTAAATTGAATTAGAAACGAAATATTCATTCCTCTATTATGACGTGGGCGCATTCTGGATGTGTTCTCTATATTTTTAGCAGAGCCCACGCCACGCCCACTTGAGCAAATGTCTAACATATGAAATGTATATCTATAAATAGGAATTTCGAAACTAATTTTAAGATTTTCTGCACGTAAATATCGGTCACGAATGATGCTTTCTAGACATATGCAAATGCCGCAATTCAAACAAATCAAATTGTGGACAGTTCTCGGCGCGAATTTTTAATTGCCTTTTTATGACTTTGGTAAATGTGGCTCTTTGTGTTTACACAAATACTTTGATGGCTAATAGTCTTTATGGTTTACATAGCTTAATTATTGTGCAAATATTTTGCCACTCTTTGAAGGACCCGAATGCCATTCGCTTTTTAATTGACTTTCCGTCTCATCTATTGATGCTTGAGCGCTCGAGAAACTAGATGAATGTCTATATACAAAAGCGCTTTTGGCGCTTATGTCAATATTTGAAAAATTAAAAATATAAAAAAATAGGGGGGAAAAAAAACTGTTCGTTTGCCTTTCCATTAAAGTGAGCAAGTTTATGGTTAGGTGCGAAATAAATAGAATAGCATTCAGAGTTTATTTTTAGGCAACCAAAATATTGAAAAGTGCTGAAAACTAAAAACTGAAATTCGAAAGAGGAAACAATTGTTTATGCGAACAGTTTTTGCTCAAACCCAAACAAAACCTAGCAGATCGATCGATTTAAATATAGCCAAAAAGTCGGGGACGAAATCGCGGAGCGGTACAAAACAAGTCAATATGTTATTAAGATCATAAACACCATCAAAAATGAACAGTGCTTTGTTTAATGTTTAAAGTGAAATTTTAACATATAAATACACAATATGAAAGTACCTACCAATAAGGGAATTTTAAATTGGGATTTTTTAACAGATTTCTTTCTCTTTTAAGGCTTCATTTTGTTTGAAAAACAGATCTAGAGCTTTCATATTTTTTAATACAATACATTGAAATTTTAAAAAATAATTTGCAAATATTTCAAAGTTCAGAATTTATTTAGCTACGATTTTTATAAAAAAAGGTTTTTGCTAAACTACAGTTTGTCCGCCCATCTAAGATTACGACTAAATCCCCTTTTGACAACTGGCCTCAAAGGGTTAACAGCAGCTGTTCTCTGTTATCATTAAAATTACAATATCTATTTATAGCCACGCCCCTGTTGCACTGTCAAGTGTTTTCACTTAACATTTTACGGCCGACAGTGGTTCACGCTGTATAATAAAACTTACATGAACAATAACATATTGAAATTCTTGTTGTTGTTTTGGGGGCTGTCCAGATGTTGTACCCACTATTGTTTATTCAGGTAATATCATCAACAAAACATTAGTCGTAGCGACCTTATGTTTAATGATTGCACAGATTTAGATTAGAATAATAATAATAAGTTGATGTCTGAGCATAACTAATTTGCCGAGTGGCAGGCAGCTTCAGGTTGTAAGGTCAACTTCTAGTTTTGACAACAACAAAACTCAATGCAATCACCAAAGCGTGACGTCATTAGACACACTCAACATGTTTACAAAAATAGCTCCGAAAACTTGTTTGTTTGAATGATAAACACAAGCCACGATTATGTAAGCTGAAAAATAAACATTTGTTTTGGTTTTGTGACTGGTTGATCGCTTTCATGAATGACTTTCATTAATTGCTGTAAGCTGAGCTTTATTATGTGCTATGACCCACTTTTTCTATGCGGGCGCCACTTAAAAACGGTACATATTTGCAGTTTGCCAAATGCTTTGTAATCGCTTTACGAGCACTCTGCTCGGGCTTAGATTACATGCACACATATTAATAAACAAGTGTGAAGTGTGAATGTGGAAGTAAGTTGGTTTGAACCAACCACCCAATGTCTGTAATTGGTATTTTCTCACGCTCATGATGTCACACACAGAAGGCGTAAAGAAACAACAATAACAAAGCAAGGCGCAATAAGAAGTAAAGTATACTTAAATTACACAAATACACATGCAATAGTGTAGACACACGGAACGAAAGAGAGCGCGGGTTAACATGAATGATTTATTACAATGAGAGCGTAATTGGGTGAGAGCGCAAGTTACAGTGCGTTTCTCATTCAAAATTGTACACCCCAATAAAAAAAAAAACAGAGCTTTTCTGCGTATCGGCATTTTTCATAGTCGTAGGGCAGTTTCGGTGACGCAGTTTTGTAGAATGGGGGTTAAAAGTGCAGGCCAAATGAGCAACTGTAAAATTCATAACGGCAGTTTTGGCATTGCAGGAAAACTTTACAATGGATTATATATTACTTGGAAAATAGAGAATAATTCCCAAAAGATGCAATGAGCATTGGGAATTAGAATATCAAATAAACCGTTTTATTTTAAATGTTTAAAATTTAATATGTAATTAACAAAAAAAAATATATTTTCCATTTGATGCTCGTACAATACCCTACTGCACAAGCCGGCAACTGCGCCCATGCTATGATAACACAAGCCGTTGGTTCAAAGGTAGTACGTGCTGTCGGAGCGGTAAGCATGGCGTGGGTAAACATATACATACATCGCAATGCGTAAATAAAATTTATGCGCTCTCACAACCGTATGCTCTCTTTCCACGACGGCTCTCGCTACGCTCGCGCGCTCTCTTCGAAATTTGAGCTTTACTACGATTACTGTAGTCCAGTCAGTACTCTGGGCTGCTGCTGCTGCTGCTACTGCTGCTGTTGCTGGTCTCTGGACAAGGCGTAGCACATTGACGACGACTCAGTATCGAACCGGCTTTCTACAACAACGGATTGGAAACGGAACAAATGAAACCTGAAGCTCGGCTATAATGTGTGTTGTCTGCTTGCCGAAGGCATGCCATTTTAGTCTGAGTTTAATTGTGTGGAGAAGTGGACTATAATATTTTGCCGAAAACTACATTAAAATTTATTCAAGGCTTACGAATAAAATACGTGTTTCTTCTTACCTAACGACGCGTGCGAGACTTCGTCGTTTTACTATGTGATATTGTGTTATATTGTGTTATATACAAAAGAAAAAAAAAAAACACGAAAATCGAAGTTCCAAAAAGCTGCGGTGATTAAAATTTTGTGGTGTGCTTTTAAACAAATTACAGTTAAATTGTGAGCAGGGCCAAAAGTGAAGGGCCAGACAGGGGTTGTTCCCGGCAAGGAAAACTCTGTTCGTGGGGAAAGCTACTGGTGTTCTTCTTGTTGTTGTTGTAGTTGAGTTGTCGTTGCGTGAGAAAAATCAATTTTGCATTTGGGCTGCCAAACGAACGGCAGCAGAAGCAGAAGCAGAAGCAGGACAAAAGGACAAGGCTGTGACAGCCCAACCCAAATGACATTTTGGCCTAAGGACAAGCGTATTAGAGAACCGATGCTATCATGGCCGATAGCACAGATCCAGGCAGGCATAAGGATCCAACCATAGATGCCGGCGCTACCAGAAGCACGGAGGGACATGGAGCTGATGTGGGCAAGGACGTGCCCCCAATACCAGCTGTTCGACGTCGCCATGCGCATGAGCAGAAAACCACGGAGAATGTCGAGCAGGAAACCAAACAGCTGGAGACGTCCACAGTGACGCGCACGTACATGAAGACCATTACTACGTCATTGACCACCTCCAGCAGCAGTCTCGAGCACTTGGAGACGCCACCGCATCGCTTGCGCGAGAAGGTGGCCCAATATGAGAAGGTCTGGTCCGATGGCAGTGGCAAGCGCCCCGCCGAACTGGGCACGGACGAGCTGCGTCAGCAGCAGACGGACGACTTTGATGCGGAGAATCCATTCGATATTGATGTGCATGAAATTGAGCGACGTTTGCGCGAGGAGCGACAACGCGGCCTGGCCGAAGCGGAGGCTGCCAAGCTGGCCTTTCAGCAGGTACACCTGCGCCAGACGACACCGACACCGCGTCGCGTCGAGGTGACCAGCGAGCATACGGCCAGTCCGTTTAATGTCACCTTGAAGACCACCAGTCGACTGAGTCCTGGCGCTGAGCTGGGCAATGTTGAGGAGCAGCTGTCGCCTTTCAATGTCACGCTGCGCACCACACGACGCACTGTGAAAAAGGACTTGTCCCGTCAAATGGAGCTGGAGCGTTTTCTGGACGGGGAGCGTACGGTGCGCGAGGTGCAGGCGGCGGATGGCGTGCGCACAATTATCACCTCCTCGAGGACCAGCGATGGTGGCTATACAGACGAGAAGATCTATCGTCATGGCGAGGGCTATGTATCGCCGCGCGATTCGCCATCCTGGTCGCGTTCCAGCATCTCCAGCGAACGTTCGAGCGTCACTTCGCCGCACAGCGTCGACATGACCGCGGGCGGCAGACGTATATTAATTAAACTGGAGGATGAACTGGTGCCACAAGCAACTGGGGCAGCCGGCTGTGAGCATGGCGAGCAACGCGATGAAACTGACGGCTCGGTGCGCGCACGCATTAGACAATTTGGTGGGCAGGACGAGGATGCCATGGCAACCGGTAACATTGACATTACCGTGGGTAGCAACCCGCGCAGGCGGCAGCGTTTGTACCAGCAAACAACATTGCCGGCGGGTGGCAACGGGACAATGCCACAACAACAGCAGGAGCGGGAGCGGGAGCAGGAGCAGGAGCGGGAGCAGGAGCAACAGCAACAACAACGGGCAACGCGTCCAAGCGAACTGTCATGGCAAACGGGAAAATCAACAACAAAAACAATGCTAACATCCACGCCGACTGGCACGAAGGAGCAACCGCAAATGGCAACGCCGGACGAGGTATTCAGTCCAGCTGCAACGTGCCAATTGCGCGGTTCTTCGACGGAAGAATCCCGTCAAATTGTGAGCCACAAAACGATAACCAGCACAAAAACAACAACAACAACTCAGTCGTCCGATAGATCCGAAAGGAAGTCCTCCTCAACGTCGCGTAAATCAATCGGTTTCAATTCCCCAAGCCCCTCCGGCAATATCTCGTTTACCGCCTCGCAAATACGCATCAGAGACGACGTCAACGTTGACGTCGACGCGGACCTCATCGATAACGATTCCGATACTGAGGGCATACCGGCCAGCAGTCTTGTGATTGTGTCCACGCCCACGCGTTCCACAACGCCCTCATCGGCGCACGCCTTGAGCGGCATTGGTACTTTCAGCAAGAGTCTGCGTCAGGATTATCAGACTCAGGCGACACAAAGTAACCGAAACAACGAATCCGAACACGAATACCAGGAGTTCCAATCCACCATGGCGTCGATCAATTTCGCACGCAGCAATTCCCAGTACGACAGTCACATCAAGGAGAAACGAGGTAAATTAGACAGACATTCGTATTGAAATCCCTCAGCTAGAGTCTGGAATGTCAAGATGTAGTTTCTTTTGGTGAATCGGTTTATGGATTGGATTCTTTGTTTCTTCATGTCCATATACCCAGCTTTTGGCTGCTCTAGTTATTTTCTTCTCGAACTTTTAATAATATAAAAGAGTTCATAAAAAAATTGGCCATATTATTCTCAACACAAATTTAATTTCTTATCGGTTTACGGTTCGGTTCTTAATTTCTTAGGTTAATTTCTTCTCAAACTTTTAATAAAACAAAGAGATATTAGTTTATAACAAATTTCAATTGTTGCTTAAAGAATATCCCATCCTAAAACTGAGTTATATTATGGACTAATCGATTAACTAGCCAAATTACAACCTGAACTAAATTAGATTTTTGGGTCCACCTGGGCTTGATTTTTTTTCTGCCTCGGTTAGCATTGTTGCCATTAGGCAATCGATCATCTGATGGCAAATCAGTTGTACATGTCCTTCACTAGCCTGATTAGCTTTTTGCTGCTCTTGATTTTGTCATATCACTTTTTTTCCGAGTCGACTAAGTGTTTTCTGTTGTTATCGCATAGCTATGCGTGTTATATAAATCATTCATTTGCAAATAATTTTTTTTCGCAATGTTTGTTTTTTTTTTTATTTTGTTGGTTTTTGGCCAAACTGATAAGGCACCATAGGTGGAAGCGCAAAGTACAAAGATATTTCAATTATTCAAATTTTGTAACTTCCGACTCAATATTTGTGCACTGCACTTAAGCCAACAGAGGCAATTGCAAATCTGTTTGGTTAGTTAATAAAGATGGGAAGTATCTTAATGTGAACAGATAGCTTTGCGTGCACTTAAATTGTTTTGTGTTGCTTTTCACCCATTTTCCGCGGTTGCGAGTGGAACCTTAAAATAACATAAAATTGAAAGTTAGCATTAAGCTGCTTGGAATTGGATTGAAAGTCGGTATAAAGTTGTTTCGATTGCAACTAAAACCTTTTTTAGGCATGAAACAGTGGTAAAAAAAAGGTGCCATAAAATGTGTCATGCAAACGATTTTAGGCATTTGCTACCCTTGAGGGTGCTTAAAAGACAATAGCAAAAAATGTGTTACATGTATTTTCACCCTCATATGTCAAATTGTTCAACAACTCCTGCGTTCAACTTCTTACGTCATAAATATCAGGTAGTCCGATTTATTTAGTTTATATCAACAATCCGTTGATTTCTACTTCAAAAATCCCCAACTTTACGTACAAAGATTTTATCTAGCAAGGCAAAAGAATTACTTGGCAACATCATGAAATGATAATGAAATATCAAATGGAATGTCGGTTTTGGCTATTCGATTCGAGTTTGCGAACTTCTCATTGGCAATAGAATAAATTTATTTATTTCCCGCCTGCTTGTGGTTGTATAAATGTCTAATTATCATTCACCCTAAACGTTGGACATATTTGTAGAATATTATTATTGCTATCATTACCATGACATTGGAAAATAATATATTTTGGAACTATGAGATGGCCTTAAACGGTTTGATTAGAGAAAATATTATATAAAATGTTTTTAATTGAGGGTTGGTAAATAAAAGTACTGTACACAAAGTTCAAGAGTTTTTTAAGTGCTTAAAACTAGTGCAAAAAATCTTTGCTCAAAATTACGAAAGTCATGGATTCCAATTTCTGAACACCTTTGATTTCGGTTGTTCTAATTTTCAAGTTAGGATTGTGTAATTATTCAATACTGAACCATATAAAGATGATCTTTAGGAATTGCTAGCCTATACGATTTTTTTTTTGTTTTTTTTTATGAGTACTTATAATTTGTATGGCTTCTGGCATAGATTGGGCTGGTTAGTTGTGGTCATTGAAGGTCAAGGTGAATGTGTCCACACGTTGTTTTTCGGGCCTAGTCTGTGCGTGTGTGCGAGTGTGTGCTTACTAAATAAATTATTGCAAGGCAATCGATAAATTTGTTTCCAAAAATGACATCATCAGCTGCTACTTATACCAATTGTTGTTGTTTTTGTCGTCAAACTAAACTTTTACTTGACAATTTATATTATATTTATATGTGCACGCAGTGCGTTTGTTATGTGTATTTACCCCCAGCTGTTGGCAAGCAGCAACTGGCTGTTACCTCTTTTTTTATTTTTTCCTAGCCCGACAATTTATTGGCTGCCAAATCCACTCGAAGCAACCACCCAACAGAGCGTGTTGTTGCAGCTGGTTGGGTGAGGGGGAGTGTTGTCGGGTTAGGGGTTGGATTTGGTAAAGAGGCTTGTTGGCTTTTAGGCTATTATGTGACCTCCTGCTGATCTGTTATTTTGTTAGGCACAACAAGCAATTAGGTGTCTGATTGTCTCGCTAACTGTCTGTGCTGCCATTGGCTCGACGTCTGGCTACACTTGTCGCTCAGATACAAATGTATCTAGAATGTATCCACGTTTTGCGATTATGTTCGAATGCTGCTGACATTCATGCGTATCTATTAATAACAGATATTTATATACATATGTGAAGAGTAGGTGTGTTTATGAATTGTCACTTACAATGTTCTACTTTAACGGGGTCATTTTGTTGTTAATGCAATTGATTTTTGCTAGCCTGCAGCGTTTACAGGGTATCTAAAACATTTCATTAAAGTTGCAATTAAATTTAAATATTTGTGTATTAATTTGTCGAATGTTATTTAACAGATCTGTGTCTATTTTTATTTAATATAGTTTAGCAACAAATATGCTAATCTCTTATATATATTATTCCTTTCCCAAGGTATTATTGTATGCGATAAGCGGCATGATATATTTTGGGTTCGATTAAGTAATGGCATATATATATTCATTTTTGCAACAACAGAGCCTGGTAGATAATGTAAAATAAATACATAGTTTTTATGCCAATCAATCGTATACCCTGCGCAAATCAACACAATGATCTTTATGAAAAATCATTTGAGACATATTTCAGATTTTTAATTGAAGTCTTGTATATATATATTCAGCGAACTCTTTGGTCTAATTTTGTAATTTATATTTATATTTAATTCCATTAAAGAATTAAAGAATTCCAGAAGTATCTACAAGTCGCAGCCTTGCATTATCTCAGCCGTTTAGTTCGTTAGTCGATTTAATGTGACAATTAGTTGGCATAGATAAAGTTTGCGTGCATTTCAGACTTTCTTTCAATGTTCTTTTTGTTAGGGAAATTGGTTGTTAGCGTCAACGGCATCCTGTCAATATGTATAGATTGCGTGTTTTGCACAATTTTTCTTCTTCTTTTGTTTGCTTTAATAAATTTGAGCAAAAATGCACATCGCGAGTTTCAGTGATTGAGTGTTATGGGCTATACATAATGCACAGCACACGATAGTCGTTCTGGGACTCTTAACAAATTTATAACCTATACGTCAGGGCATGTCAAATGTATGCTAATTGACAAGCTATACATGTACATAAACATATACATATATATATTGTATTCGTGTATAGTATGTGCTTAGTATCTATAAAACTATTGATTGGTTCGTTGCTTGGTTGCCTTTGCGTTGACTTCTATTGGTTTTTCTTAGCACAAGAGTTCTATTCAGGTCAATCAAGAACTTAAGAGCTTAATGCAATTTTAATTTGTTATTCGAAATTGTTAGCAACATTCCCGTTAAGCATCAGTTACTGTGCCAAACAGTAAATCATCCATTCAAGCCACAATTCAGTGCCAAAAGCTTGGCTTGACTTTCATCATTTGAATATGAATGTGATTCCGATTTGTTGACATTTCTCAATGCTACATGAAAACGAAATTGAATATAAGCAAACAAACATGCGATATAACAATAAATAGCAGCTCTTTGTCAAGAAACTTGCACGGCTTGGAAATACCCTGCAAAGGTTTTGAATTGTCAAATTGTACTCAGGTCTTTACAATATGATATACTGGATGCTTGACAAAGGTCTAGCTAAGAAATTAAGAAAATAAGTCTCAAACGCTTATTCATGGCCATATGTTGGCAAACTATCGATATTTATCGATTTCCTTTCAATTTGATGTGTCGTTTACTAACGGACAAATGAAACTATAAATGAATGTCGATTTGTGCTGCCATTGGCTCGACGTTTGGCTGCAGTTGTCGCTCATATACAAATGTATCTATGTATCCACATTTGCGATCATGTTCGAATGCTGTTGACAATCGTGCGTATTTTCTTCTGTCTTCTCACAACAGCTGCACAATTTTGTTATACCCCTTCTAACACATTTGTATAGGGTACTCAAAGTACTCAAATGGCGTTATCTATCTCTCAAAATCAGTCTGTCAAATGCCCAGAACGATCCGCAGCCGTACAACTGTCTGTCTGTCGGCCTGACTGTTTGTCTGTCCCGCTGTTTTTGTGAGATCATCGTTGAATTATTTATTTATTGATGTTGTTTGTTGTTATTTTTCTTATTATTGTTGCTGTTGTCGTTGGCTTCGTTAGCTGCTGCCAGTGTCAATATGTATTGTGTACTGGTCTTAACTTAAGCTTTAGCGGCTTTTTAATTGATGCCTAAAATGTGGTTACGACAACTTGAAAGAGCGAGAGAGCGAGAGAAGTTGGCGCCCCGCCGGGTGTTATTGAAATTTGAACAGCATTTTGTAATTTAAGCAGCGATAACAAGTTTATCGAACTGAATATTTTTTTTAAGTGCACACAAATTTTTGCACACTTATCTCGACTATTTTTTTTTTGCTCAAACAACACGACTTAACCCATAAAGCATATGTGGTTAAAATCTTCTTCAAAGCGAAAGACACCCACATGAAAGTGGGCTACGTTTTTTTTAAAGTTTTAGTTCTGACAGCTGCTGCGCATGTGGCACAGAAAATTATGGTAGGTTGTTCAAGAAGTATGCAAAAAAAAAATGTATCTTCCACTTTAGCTGATCCGTGGGCTGTCTTTTGAAATCTTTTTATGGTGTGGCTCTCTCTTTGAGGTTTTCTAGTTCCTCTTT